AATTAGCCAGAAATATTGGTAATTATGAGCATACGTTGGTATTAAATACTAACACGAAAAATAGATGTTAAATCGTTGCTTCCATTCCTTTTAACAAAATTCTTTCTTCAACTTTAAGTAGTTCTTTTAATTGGATTATTTCACTCCTTCAAGGTGAGATTCTCGAAGTCTTATGCATAAATCCTCACATACAATTGATGTTTTGATTGGCAAATGAGAGGATTCAGCAGAGTGAATACGTCGGGGCTCTTCACAATCATTAAACCAGACAAACTATGGAGAGCAGTAGGTTTATAACTTTGTTTGCTCTTTAAATTAATCCTTTCAATCACCAACTAAGAGAAGTTAATTAAATGACAAACACATCTCTGATAAGCATAATGTTACTTTTAGGAGTCAAACGGAAATCGTCGCTATGTGAGTTATAGTTATATGTTTTTTTATGAGAAGGCAAATTTTGCGAAAAAAATTTTAAATTTTTTTCAAGTAGATTTCAAGAGAAAATGTATTTTAAGGTTGCTAATTTTTTATGGACGTTAAACTCGGAAATATTGTAATGCATTTTACAAAATTTGTTTGTATTTTGAAGTAGATTTAAAGTAGAAATATTTTATAATTCTTTTGAGATTTTATGAGTGATTAGTCCTAAATTACGAATAAATTCAGTTTTAAAATTAGTTTTAAAAATTTTTGTAGCATTTTAAAACAAATTCCGAATAGCTACTATTCAACAAGATGTGCTTTGAGGTTGGAGGAAATGAACAAGGTGGATTTAAAAATAGAAAAGAATTTTCGACAACTTTGAGAGTCTGTGTGATTATTCCGAAGTGGTAGATAAATTGAGAATTAACAGTCACAAATAAGAAATGTTAATTAAATTTATGACAAAATTCTAAAGCAGGGTGTGAATGCTCAATGATGCACTTCGATGTGAAAATGAATAAGGTACCAATATGATCATAATTGTGCCTATTATGTAAAAGTATTTATAGTTATTAATTTTCGAATTTCAGTTCGAAAACGCCAGAGCAAGATAGAAGGTAAGAGTTTAAATCTGATCTTTGTTTTGCTGAGTTGGTTATGTTACTGGTGGTGCATTTCACCTGGGAGGGCTCGTGAAGGCCAAGTCAAGTTGAAACGGTGCAGTGAAGGGGGAGAAGGTGGGAATGGGATACGATTTGAAGTGGGCACTTAATTGACTTGCTGACATGGGCATAAGGCTTTAGATTGCAAGTACGCCTATTCCATAATCTAATTCCCATTTCCAAATATGAGGTCATGCACTCTGTTTTCACACCTTAGAGACAACTTGACCACTCTCTTATTGCATTTCGTTAACATAAAAGAGTTTCAACGAAATTCACGACCTATACATTAAATTAAGTCCTTCCAAAAGAGTGACAGAAAGGATAACTCATGTTCATTCTCGAGACTTTAAAAATTTCAATTTTTGCAGGAACAGTAACAGTAGTGTTATAGTATTAAGTGGCAATAAATGTTTTCTTTTTCTTTCAGCTGATAAGTTTGAGACGACGCATGAGGCAAATATTTATGTTGAAGAAGGTAAATTCGTTGAAATGATTTATTAAGAAATTGAATAATTAGATTCTAAAAAAATTTATTGATGTATATGTAATGATTAACCTTGAAAAATTAAACTACAAATGTTGTTAAATAATACTTTTTTTAACCATCCTCCATTATTATTCACTAATTGCTAATAAAATTAACCAAGTTAAATTGCGAATGCCTATTCATTAATGACATATACCCCGTGAGCTCCTTTTGCTCTAAATTTCAAAAAGCCTGACTCTTTTCTGCCAATTTACCAATTATTCTTTTATGACTAATGACAATTCTATTGCAGGCACGGGGCTTAATGTTGCATCAAATCAAAACGGAGCTTATTACACGAGTAAGTGAAATAGAATTGTTGTTTATCGTTATAATGTAATTAAAATTATATTTGAATTTTATTGATTTTGCTAGTGCTAAATGTGGTTGTATTAATTATTTGACCAGCATATGATCAACCCCAGGCCCTTACAAAGAAGAGTAAGTAAAAATTGTAAGGCTAAATTAACACAAATTTTAAACGAAATGAAATGGTAACCATTGAAAAAGACTCGGTATTGCTCAATGTTCATCGAGTCTATTTATTTATTATTTCACAAATCTTAAATTTACTTAACTTTGCAGTCTCAAATGCTTCATCCAGTGGTCCTACCCAAAGATACAGCAATGTTAACATTGGTAATTAATTGCTGATTATTAATTATTGATTCGTAATTAAGGGCCTCATAAGTCGTTTTTTTATTTGTAGCAGCCAAACCTAGTAAGTAAATGAATTTCTTCATAAATAATTGAAAAACTATCAAACAATTAATATAAATTTGAGAGATAAGTTCACTACTCATTTGATTCGTTACTTCTCAATTCTTAAAGAAACTTGGCAGTCTCGTTCAATTCCTATATTCATCATACGCAAAAGAGCTGCTCAAAACCATAATTGGGAACACTACTAATTTGAAAATGAGCTCTTAATTGGAAATACAAAGACAGCATTACGTCATAAGTTCCTTTCTGGTTTGTTTTCATGGCTGGTGCACCAGCAGCTTTTGAAGTCACTTTCACACAAACCGCCTTTTTATTATAAGCAAGTAACCCGGCGTTTACGAGATGTGTGCTCATCGGCGTCCACCCGATAGTACGCTGGTCAACCCTACGCATTACATTTGGCCTTATATCAACTCTTATTAAACGTTGACAACGCTTCTAGGAAGTGGTAGGACTGATGCCGGTTTTGATATTGTGATCAACGGAAGGAATTTAAAATATGAGATTTTTGATCGGCACGAAATCTCATAGAATGAGGTTCTATTTCACCTCCGTAAATTATCTAACTTGTATTACTGTTCAAATTTACTTTGAACCAAGTTTCCCTTCCTATAGTAAAAGAATAAAATGAAATTTCATGACTTGTTTGAAGTTGGAACTGTAATTTTTTGCTAATTTCTTGTAATTTTAGAATTAAGTGAACCTGATTTGACTACAGTATGGACCCCCGTGTACTATGGCGATTATGAAGATTTGAAGGAAAACTGGAACGGTTCAAGTGCAAGATTTGTAGTATTTTCAAATAGAAATGGTGGTCTAACACTCAAGGATACTCGGACTAATTGTATTTACCAAATAACGAATCATTATCGAGTTACAATTGATGGTCGAACATATAGTGGACGTCCACTCTGTAATCTGATAAAGAGCATTTATGAAGTGAGAGTCACCTGTGTTACATGAATTGTATTGGTTGCGTTGAAATGCTGTTAACGCCTGGTTTTGTTTCTCCTTCCCTGTAGGACTATGGTGGATTCGATTTTGCATCCTTCACTCAAGCGCCTTCTCTGATCTATATTGAGGATTTGAAACATTTCGCAGCAGACAAAATGCTTCAACCACTTACTTTATCGTCAAGTAGAACAAAGACAATACAGAAGGGAGATTTTGGCCATGTCATGAGAGCGATTCATCCTAAAACCGTAAGTTCGTAACTGGTGGATTAGAACTGCAAAATTAACTTGACACAAGAAATGCGATAGTATTCTTGGAAATGTCAGACATCTTTGGTGTGGCAAATGTAAGTGCATTAAATGTTTTGAAATGAAATCATAAAGCCTTACCCGAATAGATGAAAAAAAATAAATGTAATTGTAAAAGAGATGAACAAGGCTTGAATAGATAGTGGTAGACTTAACGAGTAATGGAGAAGCTTTATCCATATTTCATAAACTTGGTTCAATATTAAGAACCTTTTCTTGAAGTTGGTGTATTTAAATCGATTGTTCTACCACATCGATAGTGACTAATGTACAACGGAAATTTCAATTATGGCCAACTGTTTATTTTATGAAAAGTGGAATGACGAAATCAAGGCCAAATAACTCATATCGGACAATAAATGGCTAAGGAACTTTTCTTCATATCAATTTACATTGAAAGTAGCAAAAGTAGCCCGGAATGCTGTAGGGAACAGGCAACTATGTTGGAGGTATATTGAGTCCACATGAGTTTTATTTCTAGTGTGGAATTTCTAATTAGTATGGACCATCAGCCAAGGAAACCATGATGATGCTTTTCAACAAAATCTGGGAGACCAGTCTCGTACCTAACCAATGGAAAGTTGCCATAGTAATACCAGTACTAAAAAAGCAAATGCCTAGCAACTTTGGCAACTATAGGCCTATCTCCCTCACAATCGCTAAACTTATGGAAAGAATGGTTAACAGGACCAACAATATTCATAGAAACGAACAAGCAGGTTTTAGGCCACAAGGATCA